AAAATCTGCTGACATTGATTATTGAGTGTATACCTTAAATCAATCAGTTCTTCTTTCTCAACATAAGACAATTTTATCTGCTCTTCTATTGAAGTATGATATGGTTCTTCATTCTGGAAAAGCTTTGTTCTAAATTATGTAACTTAAGAAGTCTTTTGTGATTTACTTTGACTGGACAAATATAACATGGATAAAAGATGATTCTAGTCATATTAGTGCAACTAGTAACAAAGGTTTACTGCATTCCATCAGATAAGTGTCGATCATTATTGTATATTCATGTGTTTGGCATCGATCTTTGGAGAACTATAAATGCTGCTTTAGCCATACATTCTTACTGATTTTGAAGAACTATAAACAATATTTTGATTACATGTTATTGCTGATTTTAAATGCTTAGTTGCTGGTTTTATGTTTCAAGCACCTAAATGCAAATATTGTGAGGTTCCAATGACCATCTACTTGCCGATCTTAAATACTCATTTGCTGATTTTGTACTTCGAGCACTCGAAAGGAAATACTACAAGGCTCGAGATGACCGTTATTCTAGGGCTTGAATGCTTCTTTGCGGGTCTATGTTCTTTTATTTCCGAATGTCTCCCTTGAAGGTTGTTTTAACTGTTGTTTGGTGAATTTAAACATTGCGATTTTTAAGGTTTTGCCTACTGATTCATGTACTATTTTAGAGCCAGTTTGTTAACTGATTTCGGAGAGTTTACAAATTATCTTGGACTGGATTTCCTAGCTGATTTTGGCACATTTAAAATTGATGTATTGAGCTTACATGAGAGCTGTTTGGGAATTTTAAAAATTACTGTTTTATGGCTGATTTTGAGAAATTTGCCTATTGTTTTGGAGGCATTAAATTCATCATTTGCGGGGTTGTTTTAATCACTGTTTTGAGACATTTTTATGGGCCGATTTTGAGGCAATCTACGCACAGTTTTTTTTTTTGCAAGATTTATGTAGCCTTTAAGTGTTGATTTACATGTGGTTTAGAATTGATTTTACGAACCCCTTTTTGCCCACTGTTTTGGGTTTCAATTGATTGTTATTTAAACGTTTTTAGGTCGATCCACTCGTTGTTTTCCCCCTTGACTTTACTAGATTTGAAAGTGAGTCTGCCTCATCTTTCTTTTGTTTTACTTCTTTTTAAATGGTTAAGTCATAAATATGGGGATTGATGATTTAATTAATTAGAAGATATAGAGAACCTTCAATCACCTTAAGCATAAGTTAAAGAGTAGACTTCCTAGAGTTTTAGGAGCACACCCTAGGTGAGAGTGCATCCACCTAGTCCTCAATGTAGACCTCGTAGACTTTAGGTGCACACCCTAAGTGAGAGCTCATCCACATAGTCCTCAGTGCAGGCTTCCTATAGCTTAGGCACACACCCTAAGTGAGAGTCTATTCACCTAGCCCTCAATGTAGGCTTCCTAGATTTTAGGTGCATACCATAGGTGAGAGTTCATCCACCTATTCCTCGGTTTAGGCTTCCCACACTTTAGTAGCACACCCTAGGTGAGTCCATCCACCTAATCCTCAGCATGGTCTTCCTAGATTTTGAGAGCACACCCTAAGTGAGAGCCCATCTACCTAATCTCTGCAGTGTAACCTCCCAAGGTTTTAGGATCATACCCTAGATAAAAGTCCATTCACCTAATCCTCGAATGCACAGTAAAACTAGACACTTGACCCTAATTCACAAACTGACTAAGACACTAGACATGATGCACCGAGACGTGAACCATGCTTCATTAATTAAATCAACAGTGAAATTCCTTCAATGACTTAACCTATAATGAAACTCAGTGCATCGGGATTTGAGCTTGAATATTACACTCAAATCCTCCTGGCAATTGGGAAAATTTCTTAATGCCACATATGGATCATCGGACTGCTTAAACGAGGGATACGAGGTTAGATTATTAGAATAGTATCTCTTACCTCAAGGATCTTCAATAAGAGAGAGGGAAAGATCCATGATACTATTCGTCGATTCTTGGTGGGATCGTTGCCCCCGACATTCTTAGGTTATCAGTAGTTCTAGCACGATTAGAGTGACTAGTCTGTGGACTGCACGAAAAAAATCCTTTTGCATGTTAAAAAGAACTCTGCATAAAAAAGACTTAAACAACAGCTTTTACATGAAAATCAAATAATTTTTCTATGAAAATTTATAAAAGTCTATGGTTAGTCATTTGGATTGAGGTTAAGAACTACCTCCTGTAGATTGTCGAGTTGGCAACTCTTACTAAAGGTCGGGAAGCACGCAGCCCAGCTCTGAGCCCCCACTTTTACCAATGTCTTATACTCAGTCATGATCTGTCATATGTGATTACAGGTTTTTTTGCTCGTGATTTCTACTACTCGTTCTTATGACATTCATGCTGGGTTTTCTTGCCTTATTTATTTTTCTTGCAAGTATGTTTAAATATGCTACAAATCATATTACGATCACAATATTAATCGTACAACAGTAGCAAATGCCCAGGTACACTTTTACAGTTTATTTACAACATTTTACATTATTACATTTTTACCTTTCAAGTACCTTTTATTTACCTGCAATTTGACTACTCTGCATGCAAAACCAAAACCGAAACAAAACAAAACCAAATATTGACACCAAAATTGTGAAGCATAAACTCCGATCTCAAACACTTAAACCTTGGAGCTGTCACGACGACAGGAGCTTGGAGCCAACTTTGTGGGCAGCACAGCGAGGAATTCAGACCGAGCAGCAACAAGATCTTCAGTATTATCTCTTCCTAGCATAATAACAACCCATAGGATTTCGAGGTAGCTCGTCTAGTGTGACGTAAATCCTCACACTCCCTTTTTAGACTCTTGTACAACTATGTTGTGCAGCGTAAGTCCTAACTCACCTTAGGTTCCGAGGTTGTCGTGTGACATGACATAAACCCTCTTATTTCTGTGGGCTATTTGCGTAATCGAGTATTATGCATATGTAAGTCCGAAATAATAAAATTGACAGGATTCAACATTCAAATAAAATCCTCTCTAAAACACAGCCACACATTATGATAGTTTGGGAAGTCACTGAGGATTCCCCTCTGAATCTGTGACATCTCCTACCTTTTACTTTTTTTGGACTCCTGAAAGGATTGTTCTTACTTGAGTCATTCTCACTTGTTTTTCCACGTCATACCTTGAAAATCTTAAATTTGAATTCTTGAAAACTAGAACCACTGATCATTATTGATAGTTTTCTCAAGTGATTCCAGTCACTTGGGATGTAATTAACTATAGGGGTTTGCCTATATAGGGAACTTGGAACCCAGGTAAAATAAACCCTATTTAATTTTTGTATTAAATAGAGGAATTTGTCGGTCACATATAAAATGTTCGCAGACCAAATGGAAGTCACAAATCTCTTAGTTTGCAGGATCGGACCTATTACCGGGGTCTACACTTTTCTCTTGGAACGTGAAGTATTCAGGGTGTCAGGCACGATTATGCAAATTATTGGACTAATGAGATTCATTCGGTCTCATTTTCTAAAAAATTAAAACACTACTTTCATAATTTAAACTATATAACTTATATCTAAATTAAATTTTCAAATCATCAAAAAGTTGACCGACAATAGGTAAGGTGGAATGTATGTAAAAATTGAAAACCGACGGCCCCAACTCATTCACAAAAAGAACTGACGAATTTTCTCCTTTGCCAGTACCCGAAAAAGGTGAATATCCAAATTCTCTACTCTATCAAAACTGTAAGAGACTCTAAAGCACCAAAAAGATAGCGAACTTACCTCTCAATATCTCTTTCAGAAACACAGAAGTGTATTGCTTGAAATCAATTTTTACCAACTTTAAAACTTACATAACTTGCAAGCTACTCAATGGTTGATTAACGAAACTAGAGAGGTCTCCACACATAAGGTCGCGGCCTAGTCGGAATCTTCCAACTGCTTTTACTGCGAGCAAAGTAGAACTTCTTTCTCCAACCAGGAATCTTGTCCTCATGAACAATAGTCTATATTCGAAAAAAATATCACCATCCCGCTAGGCATCCTTTAGAAGTGAAGTGTTTTTCGAAATAAATTCACAGACCAATATAATTGTTGTGAGCGGGCATACAAAATGACTGTCATTATGCTCGATATTGAGTTAGGGCTTATCGGCCCAAACATCATCCCATAGAAATTCAGGATGTCCACCATCACACTGCACAAGGGAAACTTAAGGTCGAGACAAAATAAGTCTTTATAATAACATATCTCAATCATAAACACTATTGAGGGCTTCGTCCTTCCTAGCGGGTCGTAGAATCACGACGTTGTCAAAAGCGTAGGTCGATTGTGCTTCAATCAAGACCTCATTGATCATCAGCGACCCCTTAAAAAACGTAGCAGATAGGAACGATATACTACTCTTCTCCATACCCATAACCATCGTCAGTACTACTCTTCTCCATACCCATAACCATCATCAGTAAAGGAGCAAAAATACTACAACATGCAATGGTGAAAGGCATGGAATTACTCTCTTAGCGTATGTATAAAGGACAAACAAAATGACTTTATATCTCTTCTAACAGGGCACTCAGACACTAAATTCTTTTCAATATGTGCTCCCAGAGAGATGAAACATGTATACTTCAATCATTTATATATTTTCATTCAAGCGTGAGAAACAGTAATGACAAAAAGAAAAAAATGTACAGACAATTCGACAAAAATTCTAACATGCAATCAGATAACTAGCAATAGACAGTGAAAATAGAACTAGTCGATGAGGCAGTAATGAATTAATAATTAGTTCTTCCACATAATCATCACATTACAAGTACAAAAAAATAAACAACAAAAGACGTCAGAAATAGAAAAAATGGAGGCTTTCATCCCTCACATCATCTAGGAAGAACTTGTCAGACTAAAAGAGAGAATGCAAAACAAACCTCACCAAACACAAGTTGATCTGCTGGTTCAACTCAAGTCGTGACAGAAGGAGAGCATGCTTGGCATCTAACTATTCCAATCGCCATCGGGCCTCCTCAAAAATCTTCAAATTTTCCTCTAACAATGCTTCCAGCTCAGCCATCTGCTCTTTGCATATCGCACCGACAGTCACTTCCAACATTACCTTCAGCTCGACAATCCATTCTCTGCATATTAAATTAGTAACTATTTCTCGATTTTGAGTTTGGCAAAGCATTCTCCAGCATCTTGGAGGTCTTCCTACACAATGGCCAACCGCTCATTCAGGTCGCCAAAGACTCTTGGTAGTCTGTTCCTTGCACACATGAGCAACTCACAGCCGAATCAGCAGGCACCCACCTTTTTTCAACGGGCAATGATGCTTCTCCAAAAGCCTAATAACTATAAGTTGCAGCCAACGTAGAGCGATTCCACATCAATATCCCCTATCAGAGATCTCTACTTCTTTCTATGTACCTCTGCACGTAGAAATAGATCATACTTCGTCATAAAAAAATAATTCAACCTTATCAGTGAAGGTTATGTTACCTCTCGAAGTCTGAGTCAACACGGAAATTTTGTTGAGACTTCCGCTTCTGCATGCATTTTCTGGGACAACCATCATCGAATTGGGTAGAATTGTCAGAGGAGACCACTTGATTTGCCCGTTGGTCAATTGATACATATGCACTTAAACATGACAGAAAATTGCAGTAAGATCAACTAATTCCTCAAATCTAATCTATTTTCACCATGGTATTGGTTTCTTTTAGCCCGTCGTATAACAAAGGTATGCTCTTCAACAAAATCATTCAAATCAACGAGAATGCCTCCAAGTGAACTGGCGCCTAGCAGAGGTAATGCCCTTGAGTTACCCAAAACAACCTTCCCTCACCTAGCCCAGAAAGGCCCAAGATGTCAACATCTTTGGCAACATAACCTAGAGGCGCCATTTCCTCCACTATTTCTCCCTCTATAAAGATATCCTTGATGTAGGTATTGTCCTTGCATCTACTCTTCTTTCTTTGCTCCTCCTCTCCAGAGACGTCCTTCTTCCTCTTGCAGAGGGAATGCCTCTCCCTTAGCCTTCACATTCATCTTAGAAAAATATCTCATCCTGGGAGATTAAGGGACAACAATCCAAATTGAACGAGAGTAAGAGATCTTGTCTAACACAAGAAGTCTGCAACCACTACATAATGTCTAATACACCAACCAAGTAGTTAACATTCAATAAGATTACATACTACCGGAAGTAGTTAAGAGCTTTTTTTTTACGAGATAAAGACCTTGGCAACAGAGCTCCAACGATCATACCATGATTTGATTTCAAATCATACGACATATATTCCTTTACGAAATAAAGATAGTAACAAAACATAATGTTAATAACCTTATAGGCAAAGGATAGTCATCAAACTCCACTTATCATCATCATTATTTATAATTGCACATATTCCATAATATCCACATTAGGCGAGAAAGTAGAAAATTGTAAGACCAATCAGTTCATGACTACTCTCGGCAAAGAGGCCAAAGTTCAGGAGTGAAGAACAGTTTTATCCCTACTCAAAGACATAAAAGATTGCTCCCTCTAGGAAAGCTAAGGCCCCCGGGAGAATGACAATCCAAGCTCAGAAGTAGATGAAAAAGAGTACTCCCTGCGGGAGAGCTAAGGACCCTAAGAGAGAAAAAAATAGTCGATATGAGTAACATCTAGCTTCGTCCAATTAGGAGTCGGGATATAAGCATAAATCAGTTTGAAACACATTTTGTGATCGTCGCGGATATGACTATACTATCCTGCGAAGTAACTAAGAAAAAACGTCGGCAAGTTACTAAACACTATCAAAGCATATTGCCACTTGCATTAATAAGTGGTGATACAAAAAATAGATTTCTTTCGTTACCTTATTCTTCTTGCAACAACTTATTGAAGGAATAAGAAAATCAAATAACTAAGTGTGCACCAAAAATCAGCCTTTATGGGCCAAAGCTCACGTCTAACAAGCCGTGTGGGACTGATTAGCCAAATTATTCAGAATACAAGATTGTCATCAGAGTGGCCCGCTAAGGTGCCATGCGAACTTTACTCACCGATGTGTCAGTATCTTACACTAGTTGCTGAGCTGACTTGTCAAACTGACTTGTTGAACTGACTTGTCGCTCTGGTTTACATGTTCCTTTTGACGAACTAATAAACTGAAAAATAAGACACTCTAACCTAGCTCACCTACTTGACAATAGTCGGAACTATCAGAACATAAAAATAAAGACCGATGTCAATGATGGACATATGTCACCTCATCATTTATAAGCCGCCTAACATACATATCGTGATCATTTCATCAAAACACCGTCGACAAATTTTGTATTACACTTGTATTTTAATATTTTCTTAAAAAAAGTATAAAAGGGTGGAAAAGAGATTGGAAAGAGAATCAACTCTCAGGGCCTTTTTCGAGAGATGTTGTATTGCGACTCTCACGAAACCTTTCTTGCCCCTCTCCTCTTCTCATTAGATCATCTTCTCCGCTCCATCGGAGGAGAATTAGAAAGCAAAACACATAATTTAGGCCTGGAGAACATATCCATCCTCTTCCTCTAACCTCCTCATACGGCCGCTTTATCTCGAAAAGGTGGGTCATTTGGATTTAATTTACTTGGTATATATGATTATGATTATAATTTTTGAGGAAATAATATTTTTAATTTTGAAAAGTGAGACTGAAGGGTCTCACGTATTTGATAGTTTAGGAGGTTGAGCGCAATACCACAAGTAGTACACTATCCCGAAGGATATGCATACAACTTGTTGGCAGGCTTAATCACCTAAACTAAAAGATTTGTGATGTTCTTTCGGTCTGCGAAACATTTCCATAAGCCGACAAGTTGTCCTATTTAACATGAAAAGTTAAATAAGGTTTATTTTAAGATGAGTTTTTAAGTTCCCTATAGAGACAAACCAATATAGTTAATTACATCTTAAATGACTGAAATCACTTAAAAACTCTCGATTAAGATCAATGGTTCTGTCTTCAACATTGCAAAGTTTAGGTTTCCAATGATAAATATGAGGAAATCAAGGGAGAAAAGCTCAAAATATGAATGGTTATTTTCAAGAGTCAATGGAGTGAAAAGTAGTGGATGTCACAGATCCACGGAGAACCTCGGCGACTTCCCAACTATCCTAAGATTGAACCTTAACTCTAAGGAGACATCCTACGCCTCGTCGACGTGGTCGCGATCGTCGCCTTCCGTCCACTTGCTTCCATGCTCCGCTTCTTGAGAAGACTACTCTAAGCTCCTAACAGAACGATTATAGACTCAGGGTTGTGGTGTGTATAAATATACAGTTGTTGGGTTAGTGGCTCGCTACGGGGTACCTCCTAAACCAGGTGTCATACTAGCCTCTAACCTAAAGTCTCCTGCAAGTCTGTAGAAACAACATGAATTATAAAAGAGAACATGATACGAAATGCAATAAATAGTAAACAATGGTATTACAGGCATGAATAATGTGTATATGCAGTAAAGTGTGCAGCAACAAGAATAAACGCTGTAAATGTAAAACAAACTTGTATACCTGACAAACCGTCGGCTCTTGAAAAGATTCGGGAAAAAGCGGCAGAAGACCCACAGTAACTCGAAGAAAATAGTCGAAAACTTGAGGAAAACCCAGAGAAAAAGAAAAAAAATCACATGTGCTTTACAAATATTTCGATAAAACCGTAGGAAAATACATAAAAATCTAATTTCAATAAAACCGTGAGAAAACACCCCAAAAAATTCGAAAAAAGAAAGAAAACTGTAAGCATTCGGGTCAGACTAGGCTCAGAATTAGGTATTCTCGAGGGACTCCGAAGGCAACTATAGATCACCCGTATGTATAGAGCCCGACATTCAACTAGAAAAGTATCCTACTACACCAACTTAAGAGGGTACTCCTTAGCCCAATACCGGCGATTGACAAGTGGACAATCGAATTATATTATTTAAAATTTATATTTTAGCATGCATATAGGCTTCATGCATACAAGAAAAGTAGTGCCAATTTTGGTAATCAAAATACTTTAGAAAATAATGTATCTATTTTTATCGTATCCGTTCTTATCATTTTTATAAAAATATGGTTGTCCACAAGTCAATCGAACTGTCGGGCCGGAACCACCAGCAACCTCAGACGGCAAGGGTGCCCTGCTAGCCTGGTGTCGGTGAATAATATTGTCATCCTACATTTCAGCGGGTCCTTGGATTGGGTCCCAATGTCGTAGGATGGAATATTATTTCGCTTTACCACCGAATGTCTTTATCATCAAGGTCTATTATCCCAAAATGATCATCTAACTTACGACATCGCTTGATGGTTTCATAGATAGTCAGGGCTATATACACGCACTTATGTATCGGACATAAGCATTTAAAACCCAAACCAAGAAGCAAGGAAAGTAAACCGAAAAGCAAGAAATGAAAAAGAAACCCCACCTCAAAAATCAATTTATAAAAGAAAAACCAAAGCAGTAGGAGGGTTAGCCTAAAACATCCACCCGATGGGACTTCTCGAATGAGCAATGAGATGGGCCCACTTCCCGATGCTAGCCAAGAGCAACCCCGAAATACAGAATTTAGAGATCTCCCAGCTATTCCCAAGCCATTCTCAAATATATCAAGATTTTTTTTTCTTTCTTTTTTTTTCTTCTTTTATTTCTCCTCTTTTTTTTATTGCAATCAATTCAACCCGCAAAATTGGGTCCTGAAACATCTCCAAACATTTAACAAACCATTCCTCGAAGAGGGACATTTGAATTCTTCTAAATAACAAGAGTTGAAGTATTCCATTTTACCAACATTAAAGCATTCAATTCCACCTCGAGCTAAAAGCTTTTGATGCCATACAAACCCAACACTACACCGGGAACCCAGCAAGTGCCCACGATCAGGGGCAGTCAAGATGGCGAACCGAGCCCAACATAAGGGAAATCACAACCACAAGCTCACGGGTAGGAGCAGCAGAGGGAAGCCACCAACTCCCAACACAAGTAAACTACAGGCGACGGCTCACGGCCAGGAACAGCAAAGGAGACCCCCAAACAGGTGCACAAAGGAACCAACAGAGAAAAACAAAGGGCTCTCGGGTAGGAGCAACAAGAGGAGCCACCAGACCTAAGCCAACAGCCACAAACTCACGGGTAGGAGCAGCCAAAGGGGGAAGACACCAGCTAACACCCAAACCAAACAAGAGAACACAACAGGGAGGCTCA